AGGGGCACGGGCTCGACAAGCAGGAGGCCGACAAGATGAGGGCGTGGCTCAAGTACCAGTCGGAGAAGAAGGACGGCAGCGGGAAACCTACGAGCACAGCAGAATCCGCCAGAGCAGCCCAGGCGCTTTGGAACGGGATGAAGGACCCAGCCGATCGGAAGCGTTTCTTGCAGACCTTCGCGAGTGACAAGGATAAGACACTTGACTGGTTGGCCACCTTCGAAGAGAGATGCACGAATGAAGAGGTGCACACGCGCTCTGCCAAGAAAGGGTACCGGAATGTATCGCAGGCACTGGCCCTCAAGAACCTCACCATCAAAGACTTTGCGAACATCCAGGAAGCCACTGCCTTCGTGCAGGAATGGTGGGAGGAGAACAGCGAAGAGCATGGCACCAAAGAAGAATTCCCCATCAAGGAAGATGTCAAGGACAGGCCTCTGTGGAAGGAGTGGTACTTCGTCGAGCGCAACATGGACGATGACCAGCTGGTGACGAAGGACTCGCGCACCTTCAAGGGGACGTCCAACCTGAAGAACCTGAAGCAACTCGAAGCTGCAGGCATCAGGATGGCCGAGCTCCCGTCGTCCAGCGCTTCGGGGTCGGGTGGGGGCGGCGAGGTGAAGATCGAGAATCCGCACTGGCCAGAGATCGTGAGTAAGAAGGACGAGATCGCGCGCCGTCCTCGGCAGCCGCCCCCTGCCCTTCCATCTCTGGTGCTCTGCCAGACCCCTCCCAGAGGGGGGCCCTCTCCCCCGCCACGCCCCCGCCGCCCCTCCTGGAGGGGATGGCGATAGAAACTGGTTCGTATCCGTTCTGTCGTGCGTTGTTTGCGTTGAAAAGCATGTCGGCGCATTGCTTGTTTATGATCCCTACCAAGGCAAATGCTGGTCAAGTATCAGAAGGAGCTGAAGTTCCTAAAGCACACGAAGAATCAGTTGCTCGCGAAGGCTGGGGATCAGGATCAGAAGGACCGTCAGAGCTTCCAGAACTGGGCCGATGAGTGCAAGAAGTGCGTGGACAATGCGGACCAGCACGAGACGGCGATGGAGGTTCTGATTGCGAAAATTGAGGGCGCTGATTCTGTCGGCAAGGACGCGGACATGTACGATAAGCTGAAGAATGAGGCCCAGGCCGCCTACAACACACACGAGCACATGTACGAGGGCATTCAGCTCTCGGTCGAGCGCTTCAAGAAGTTCCTCAATTGAGCTGCGGCCCTACATCTACATCTACATATCAGTATTTACATGCATATATGCAGTAGGGTTTGAGATGCTCTGCCTCGCCCGACGACGCGCATGCAGCGCTGCCTTTCCGACGCCCGTGGGAAAACGAGAACTTGCCGCTTCCTCTGCCAGGGGTGCCCCTTCGTGAGGGGCCGCGTGTTTCTGGGTTTGCCAGTAAAGAAGCCCCCCTCATCGCAGGGGCGCGGGGGGAGGGGGGGGCGGGGGGGAGGGGGGCTTGGTATCATCAGGAGGGGAGTAGCAGGAGGGGAGGGGCATGAAAGGGATTGAAGGAGGGCGCGGAGGAGGGGCGCGGGAAAGGGCAAGGGCCCCTTGCCTCAGCCGCGCATGTCCGTAGCCACTGCAGTGGCTCAAGGCCGCCGCGCTCGCGCCTGTCTCCCGCGGGCCCCGCGGGATGCTTTCCAGGCGGCGGTTGCCTTATGACAGGTTGGGCTTGCCGCCGGAGAGGCGGCTGAGAGCGAACGCGCAGGACCTGATAAGCAGCAACGTGGTCAGCGGGCAGCGCGGCGCTCAGCTGATCAATGACTGCGTCTCTGCATCTGCGACAGGTCTCTCCGACCTGCACACTACGGAGTCAACGTCGGGCATGAAAAACGCTGCCAGGAAGTTCAGGCGGGATTTCTTCAGGAAAGGGTGGCCTCCGCTCTATCACTGCCAGGTGAGGGGCTGGGACCCCAAGTCTGAAACAGAACAACTGATGGACTTAGCGATGATGCTTCCTCACGAAATACTTCATCAACTTCATCATTTTGGCGAGCGGAGCGTGCTACTGGAGACGTCGAGTCTCGACGGCGTGTCTCTGCGCCACGTGCAAAGAGCCAGGGCGGAGAGTGGTTGCAACGACCTGGTGGCCCTGGGCGTGTGGCAGGACGGGGTCCCTTGCTTTTGGGACCGATCGATGAGCGCAGAGATCATCAGCCTCATGTTGCCAGGGGCTGCGGGGCGCTGGAAAAACCTGCGGGTCCCAATCACAGCGTTCCTCAAAGAGCACGTGGGCCCCAACACATTTGATGATGTTTTTGCAGTGGTGCAGTGGAGCTTTGTTCACTTGGCTGCGAAGCGCTGGCCGGCGGCACGGCACGACGGCTCTCCCTTCGGCGCGCAGGACGCCTGGAGGAAGCGCCGACAAGTGGCCGATGCAACCCTACCAATTGGCGGAGTGCTTTGCCAGATCAAAGGGGACTGGAAGATGATGAAGGAGGTGCTCAAGCTACCTGGCTGGCAAGATGACGAAGTATGCTTCCTGTGCAACATCAAGAAGGACGAGGCCATGGGAGCGCAACACATCAGGGGAGGAAGGAAATCCCCTCTGGGAGGGGGTGCGTCGTCGTCGTTTTGCGGCCCCTTCCAGGGGGGGTGGAGGAGGAGGGGGAGGAGGGGTGGAGGAGGAGGAGGAGGAGGGAGGAGTGTTTTTGGCTACTCCCCGCAGGTGAAATCGCAGACTGGGAGAGACGCGCCGTGGAGAACGCACCGACGCACATGGCCAGAAGTCCTTGCGAAGATTATCGTTTCAGGCGAGCAGGTGTGCCCTCTCTTCCAAGTGCCGTATGCGAACGAAAAGTTGCTGAAGCTAGATTGGTTACACGTTGTTGATCTTGGAGTAGCGGCTGACTTCATAGGGGGTTTGCTATGGTATCTTGTAACGCACAAAAAGGTGGCTGGAACTACCCAGAAAGGCCGCGTCTCCACACTACATGGTCATTTGATGGCGTTCTACGACAGGCAGCCGCCAGGTGAGAAGACCAGCCGCCTATCGAGACTGACGCGGGGCGTTGTGAAAGGAAAAAAAGCAACGACGGCTAAGATGAGGTGCGGCGCGGGGATGCTCAGGCACATGGTTCCATGGGCATTGGAGATGGCGGAGGCTTTCCTTGATAGGAGGAATGGCGTCGACGAGCGGGCAGCTGTAGAATCGTCCATTCACGCAGGGATGAAAAGCTTATGTCGGTGTTACGAGGCACTCTCTGACAATCACCCATTTGCTGTGGACATTCTTAGAGAGCATTCGAGTAAGTTTGCCACGCAGACGGCCGCTTTGCAAGACGCGCTTCCTGCCCATTTTAAAGTGAAGCCTAAAATGCACATGTTTCTGGAGCTGTGCATGGGCGGCGGTGAACCAGCGAAGCACTGGAACTATAGGGATGAGGATTTCGGTGGATCTGTAGCTGCATTTGGCCGAAGGAGGGGCCAAAGGAGGTCCATGAGAGCGTTTTCGGTGGCATGCATCTCTAAGTTCTGCGGCCAGCCGATTGTGCGCATGCTTTGAAAAGAACGCTTCTGTGTGTATCGTTGTCATTCATTGCTGTCGGCTCAAATATATGTTGGACCCCTCCCAGTGGGGTGAGCGCGAGCATGGGCGCTGAAGCCCCGTTTGCCCCAAAACGGCGGGTCGAACTATTTTCGGCGCGCCCGAACTATAGATCGACCCGCAGAAAAGTATAACCCCCGCATTATAGTTCGACCCCGCACTATAGATCGACCTTGGAGTCTCAAGGCGGACTGACCCCGGCCCGGACTGACCCCGGCCTGACCCCGGACTGACCCCGGACTGACCCTGGACTGACCCCGGACTGACCCCGGACTGACCCCGGACTGACCCCGGCCTTGGCCCGGACTGACCCCGGACTGACCCCGGACTGACCCCGGACTGACCCCGGGCCGGACTGGCTCCGGACTGGCCCCGGACTGACCCCGGACTGACCCCGGACTGACCCCGGACTGACTGACCCCGGACTGACCCCGGACTGACCCCGGACTGACCCCGAACTGACCCCGGACTGACCCCGGACTGACCCCGGACTGACCCCGACTGACCCCCCGGACCGACCCCGGACCGACCCCGGACCGACCCCGGACTCGGGACCCCGGACGACCCCGGACTGACCCCGGACCCCTGACCCCGACTGACTGACCCCGGACTGACCCCGGACTGACCCCGGACGGACTGACCCCGGACTGACCCCGGACTGACCCCGGACTGACCCCGGACTGACCCCGGACTGACCCCGGACTGACCCCAGACTGACCCCGGACTGACCTCGGACTAACCCCGGACTGACCCCGGACCGACCCCGGACTGACCCCGGACGGACTGACAACGGACGGACTGACCCCGGACTGACCCCGGACTGACCCCGGACTGACCCCGGACTGGCTCCGCGGACTGACCCTGGACCGACCCCGGACTGACCCCGGACTGACCCCGGACTGACCCCGGACTGACCCCAGACTGACCCCGGACTGGCCCCGGACTGACCCCAGAGTGACCCCGGACTGACCCCGGACTGACCCCGGACTGACCCCGGACTGACCCCGGACTGACCCCGGACTGACCCCGGACTGACCCCGGACTGACCCCGGACTGACCCTGGACCGACCAGGGACTGACCCCGGACCGACCTACCCCTAACTGACCCCGGACCGACTTCGGACCCTGGAGTGACCTCGGACTGACCCGGGTCTGACCCCAGACATACAGAACGTTGTGTTTAGTATTCGAGTCCCGGCTCGGTAAAACTAGACTCGGTGAAAATAGATCTCGGCTAAACTAGGTCGCAATCTGATATCTAATTTAAACGAGTGGAGAGTAGTGGGAAAGGTCGCCCCGCCCGTCGCAGCCCAGGAGGCAGGCGCGAGGCGCAATGACGTGCATCCTGCCCGAGGTGATCCAGCCGTTGGTGACAGTGCGCAGCCACGACCAAAGCCAGGCGGGGCGAGCAGCGCGCAGCTCAGCGCGGAGCTCCAGCCAGCGCTCACGGAGCTGCTCGGCGGGCACCTCCAGGCCCCGCCGCCGCAGACGGCGGCCGATCAGCTGGTCCAGGCGGTCCGCGTAGAGGCCGTCGCGGAGGGTACGCATCGCCACGGCCTGGCGCTTGACCTTCCTGGGCGGGACAGCTTTGGCAGCCGCCAGCTCCTCGTCGTGCATGGCGCGACGAGCCGCATCGATGAGGGACATCGGCACTGGGACAGGCACCTTGTCAAGCACAGGGCGCGGGTGCGGCAATACGGAGAACAGGTCCATCACGAGGCCGTAGCTCTGGACGATAGAACGCTTGGTGGCCCACCATCTCGGCGACCACGAGCCCTGCAGGACGCGCACCAGCGGGAGATACTCGACCGCCGAGTCGTGCAGGGCGTGCAGCGAAGGCACCCAGTCGCGCACCGTGTGGGCCGCGGAGCGGAGGAGCGTGCCGACCGAGTACGGGAACAAGCCCAGCGATGCGGCGATGCGGGGGAGCCACACCATGCGCCCATGGAGAGGATGTCCGCTTTGCGCATGGCCGATGGCGGGAACCGCAGGAGGCGGTGGAACAGCGTGAACTCGACCCGCCAGATCCCAGGGACGAGGAAGAAGAACTGGGCCAGGTAGGAGAGTCAGGGGAGCACGTTCACGTTGTAGGCAATGGCAGCAAGGCTGGTCGCCATACCAGTGCGACTCAGCTCCGAGGCGCGCGACCACCACTTCGCCGCCGCGATCTTCCAGATGCCCTGCTCCGAGACGCCAGGGCCGATGCGCGTGCCCAGGTACTTAGCAGAGGAGTCGATGCGGAAGCCATTCCACCGCGGGACCAGCGCGGCCAGGTACTCCTTGGTCTCGCAGATCACGGAGTGACCTCGCCCCAGAGCGGCACCAGCACACACTTGTGGATCGCCAGCTGCAGGTTGAAGGCGAACTCGATGTCATCGAACGACGAGGCGATGGACGGGAGGACCCTGGCGTTGCGAATGAACATGCCCAGGTCATCAGCACACGCCGTGAGGCACCCTTCCGGAGGGTCTCCCAGCGCCCCGATAAGCGCACGGATCGGGGCGTCCATGCCCAAGCACCAAGCCGTGCCAGAGAGAGGGCAGCCCTGCATGATGCCACACCTCAAGGCGAACAGTGGCTCCAACACCGCACTGGCGCCCGAAGCACGGAAAGAGCTGAAGGCGAGGCAGTTGCAGTACAGCGCAGAAACCACGCTGCGGAAGCCGATGGGCACGCCGTACCGCGGCAGCACCATGTCGATCACGTCGCGGAAGAGCGAGGGGAAAGCCTGACGGAAGTCGTAGGACAGCAGCATCGGCCTACGTTGCGCAGCCCCAGGTAGAAGACCCTCGCGGACGCACTCCGCGTCCAGGAACGGGATGTGGTCCACGAGTCGCCGCCCAGCAGTGAAGCTTTTCTGCACCGCAGCAGTCACGGAGGAGGCGATGGGCTGGAGGGCGCGGTCCGCGCAGGCGGCAATGAGCTTGGCATCAGCATTTTTGAGGGAGAGAGTACGGACCGTCGAGGCGGTGCGGGTGCAGGAGTCGAGGGTGTCCTCGACCTCGGTACCCTTCGGCACGCAGAGGAAGATCGACCAGTTGAGGTCGTGGGGCCCGACGCCCTCGTTGAAGAGCTGTTCCATCAGCGCATGAAGGTGACGCAGGGCGTCGGGGCTGCGCCGCCAGGCAGCGTAGGGCAGGAGGAGGAGGAGGAAGAGGAGGAGGAGGAGGAGGAGGAGGAGGAGGAGGGGGAGGAGGAAAAGGAAGAGGGGGAGGGAGGGAGGGAAGGATGGCTGGAGAGTGGGAGGGTGGGAAACCAAGAGGGTGAGAGAAAGAGAGCGAAAGAGAGAGAGAGAGAGAGAGAGAGAGACAGCGAGAGAGCGAGAGAGAAAGAAAGAGAGAGAGAGAGAGAGAAGGATCCAGGGCGCCCTGGGACTCCGCAGAGCCCCAACAAAAACCCGAGCGACCCAGAACCTCACAGACTCCTCATAAGTCCAAGAACACGCCGGGAAAGGGAGGAGGAGGCAGATGGGGAGAAAGAGAGGAGGGAAGAGGGAGGCTTGACGTCCAAAGATGGAAGGTCCTGAGGGGGAAGCACAAATGTGGAATGGGGCGCCCGTCCGAAGAGACATGTTAAACACTGCGGGGGGGTCCTTCCCTATGGCCCAGGGCCCAACCGGTAGGACACCCGACCACCCAGAAAACCTCGCTAGCCGAGCTCTCAAACTCCGGCCATCGGATCAGCCTGCGTTCTGCGCGCCTGGCTTTGCGCTCGGGCCTCCACGTCCTTACGCCCGCGTTTCTCCGAGGCGGATGCGGCTCAGGACGAGAAACCGAAAGCCCCAAGCACAAGTTCGAGTGTCGCAGGCGGGGGGGGGGGGGGGGCGGGGCCCGAAAAAGGCCCGAGGCGGGATGGCGGCCTGGCCCCCCCCCCCTCTGCCACACCGCAATGATACGCCCGCTTCTCACGGGTGGCCACGGAGGGGACCTGAGGAAACTCGTCCAGGGACACACCAACACCCTACGGGTGCAGGCGTTCACTGAAACGTTTGCGGACGGCAAAAGACGACCCACCCTTCGACCGCCGAGAGTCCGCGCACCCGCTGCACAGCTCAGGATGCCCAGGATGGCCCGCGTACTTATAGCACGCGGCGGAAAAAAAAACGGCTCGCTTCCTGGCAGCCCTGCTTCCAGCAAGGAGTGGCCATTGATATGTCACCGCGCTCCAGTGTCGATGCGACACCACTCATCATCCGCCTCTTCACTCCCCAAGCCTTCCTCCTTGCCAGCCTCCCCCACCCCGTTCCCCGCGGCAGCAGCAACAGCAGCGGCAGCGACAGGGGGGTCCAATGGCTTCGGTCGGAGCCCCGGGACCAGGCTGGGGGTCGTCGGGGAAGCGCCAAGGCCGATCAAACCGATCGAATCCAGACCCCGCTGGTAGCGCATACTCTTCACTTCCCACTGTTGCGGGAAAGCTGGCTGCAATCCTCGCCGCCTGCGTCGCGATGGCACAACGGCCATTCACTGGAAGCACATTAGTCAGGCGAACCCACGCAGCTGGAGCCCCGCCCAGCGAACTCACCCGCCTCAGCATACCCTTCCAACCCGGACTGCGAGAGAACACTCTTTCTGACCTGCACAGTGGAGCAGTGGAATTTCACGCGCTTGAAGACCCGCCGACAATCTCCCCGGCATGCACTCTGAGACCCTGGCGAGCCCGCAAATTGACCGCCGAGGCGGCTCTCTGGCGGCAGACGCAGCAGCCAAAAAATAACGCTGCAATCAGAGAAGACACCGAACGGAGAAACATGCTGCGAGACCATGACCATCGCATAAATCCCCTCCGCCCCTCGCCGCGCCCACGGTCGCAAACTCGGGCGGCAGGGCCCCGCAGCTTGCACGGTAAAACGCACGGCCTACGGGGCACATCACGCAGGCCCAGCCAGTCGCACGCAGCGCAGAACATCTCGAATCGAGCCGCGGCCCGCCCGCAAACGCGCGCCAGCCCTCGAGCGGCGCAGGCAGATCACAGCGCCCCTGCGATCCGAGAACGGGCCCAACATGGACCGAGACACGCGCAAGCCTGGCTCGGGAAAGACGCCGTGGGCAAAGCGCTCACCCCAAGCGGGAAGGGCCTGCGCCAACACCTAACACCTTTGCCGCGGCCGCGGCCTTTGACGTGCCGGCGCCGTCGCCCCCCGGCTTCGTGGCCCGGGCATCTGCGGCGCCTGCGATGGAGTGCCCCCCCATCCTGGCCGAGCTGACGCAGCAAGGGAACCGACGCATCCTGGTCGCGCTGACGCCCTGGCGACCACTGCGCACCAGCGACCCGCCCTCGATGCGCGGACTGCCGACGCCGCCCCCAGCCAGACCCCCAATCACTGAACGCTCTCCAGAGTGGGCAACAGAAAATGGGGCCGGCCCAACAAACCTATCCTGCAAGCTCAGCGCGCATGCCCGACGCGCGGCGCGCGACGCGCTCGATCTGGCCAGCGACGCACGCAGGCGAATAGAATCGCAGATGCCACTCCGCACCCCAGTCGCCCACCAGACTCGTGGGGCCCTCAAACTTCCACCCGACTCGCTAGCCCGCGACGCGAAGCGCTGCCGCTGGGCCCCGCTGGGCCCCGGCGCGAGGCCCACAGGCGCTGCTCGGCCGCCGGCTGGGGCCCACCCTTGAAAGAAAGCCTGGAGGGCCGCCGCCGACAGGACGCCGCCCCGGAAGACTTCCCCATACTGCTTCACACTGTCAAGAATCGCGGTGGCCAAGGCGCCGCACCCCCAGCCGCGCTCGCCCCCCCCCCCAAAAAAAAAAAAAAAGCGGAGGCACCGCGCGGGGGGGCCATCTTCAGCGCGGGCTGCTGCCGCTCCATGCCGGCGCAGATGGGCGCCCGCGACGCCGCGCGCACTGGGCCCCCAGTGCGACGCAGCAGATGGCCCTGCACGGCGGGCCTGGGAAATCTCGGCGCCCCCGCGTCGCCGGGCCCGCAGGCGCCGGCCGCGCCTCTGCCCTGCAAGACGCCTGCCCAAATCAGTCGGAACCCGCCCGAGCCGCCCGTCCGTCGCGCCCGCGCCCGAGTCCAGACGCGAGCGCGAGCGACCTTTACGCTCCAGCGCCCAACCTTCACAAAGTCGGGCCGCGAGCGCGCAGGAACAAGCAGGGAAGGTCGGGGAACCCATGGCCGCGGCTCCGCCCGCGACCGCGCTGAAAGCCGAGGGGGGCCGACGGGCGGCTGCGCCCCTGCCTCCCGCCGCGCGGCGCGATTCCTCATCGGCCACATGGTTGGCAACAACCATGAGCGCAGCAAGGCCGGCGCGCTTCAAGGGCGCGAACTGCGCCCGTTTAGCCAGAAACGCGGCGCGCGAGCACCGAGCGACAACCGCCCCGCGCGCCTCGAGAATCCCGCCCGCGCACCCTGCAGGGCCGCGCGGGAAGGGGGGGGGGGGGGGGGGCGACGCGCGCAGCGCTGCGCCAAAAGAAAACGCGCGCTGGCCGACGCGGCCTTGTACTCATCGCGAGATACGTTATCGCGGCGCTGCTATAAATCGAGAATGGCCGAGACGAGCCGAGCGAAGTGGGACATGGCGCGGCAGAGCCACGCTGGTTGGTCACGCGACGCGGCCCTGTTGTGGCCCCGCAACGAAAGGGCGATCTGATACCCCCCCCCCCAATCTGGCGCACTCCCGGAATCGAATACTGGACCGTACTCGGGCTTCCAACGGAAGGAGGCCAATCCGGCGCACCCCCCTAGTCGGCTTGTCTAGACAGACCATGAGGACTAGCCATGGGCCCGCCACCCTGGGCACCTGCTCCCAGGAGTTTAAAATATCTGCGAAGCACTTCGCCAGTTCTCTCGGCAACTGCTCGATGACTCCCCGGCGAAAACCGCCCATTCCCAAGGCCGCGCCTTTCGCGCACTCACCGCTGGCATCGATCGGCTTGTCGGCCGCGACGCGCGGGAGTGAATCCAGAACAAGCCCGCCCCTGGGCCGCGCCTCGCCCGCCCGCCATGGGCTTGGAACCCACTTCAACGCAGCCCGAGGGGGGCGCGGCGCAAGGGCGAGGCCCCTCGGAGAAACGGCGGGCAGCCCCCCCCTCCTCGACGAGGGGACCCCCGCGCAGAATCGATCCAAGCCTGCTTGGTAGCCGCTGCGTCTGCAGCGTTCCTTCTGTCACGCTCCACTAGCGCCGAGACCGCGGAGGCCCTGGCGGCCTCGTCACGTAGCGCGCCGACTACAGCACGGCCCGAACTCGCCGCGAGCTCAGGCCCTTGCCCGCCGAGCCCGCGAGGGAGCCGAGCCGCGCGCCGCGCCCGTCGATAACCGCGTCTCTTCTAGCAACGCAATGTCGGATATCTAGCTGCACGCGTTCCCTCGCCATTCCAAGAACCCAAGGTCAGAGCGACATGAGGTACATGCGTACTGCAAAACAGCGAGAGACGCATCCTAATCCAGCGCAGCCGCGGAGGCCGCACTGCTTCGCTGGCCTGCACTACCCTGGATATTCGCGCCCGTTCTGTCGCATGCCTCCCCGGGTGTCCCCTTTGTCAGGGGCTTCTTGAGATCCCCCAAGTCCACGCTGGAAATACGCGGCTGCAGCACATGCGCTCGCTGGAAATAAGCGGCGCAGACCCGCCCACGCGGGAAGCAAGCTGCTGCAGCCCTCTCACGCTGGAAGCAAGCAGCTTCGTATCAGCTGCGCTAGAAGACAGATTCGCGGCCCTGCCCTCCGACGGGCCCCCGCAGGGCCGCGAGTCCTTGGGAGCCAGGGCCCGCGCCGACTCCAGCGGCGCTTCCCTCATCGCGCGCCGGCTGGGGCCTGCTAGCCTTGGTCTCCGTGCGCCCAGGCTGTCTGGTGCGACCCGCGCGGCCCGACTTACTGTAAGCTCGCATTTGTTGGGGTCGCAGCATGCTGTCTTGCGACTGTCGGCGGGAGGGGGCTTAGCCTTGGAATCGTGATCTGTAATGCTCTGCTCTTGAGGTCGGAGCCGGAAAGCCCAGAGCCACGGCTGGCCTGCTGAGACTGACTGGCCCCCGAAGACCCCCCTCAACTGGCCGCAGACGCCGCCGCGCTCTGGGGCTGGAGCTGCTGCTGCTGACCCGTCTCCGCCCCGTCAACGTGCACTCGAAAGCCGTCGCGCCATCTTCGCTGCCTCCACGATGTAGGCCTGAGCCTTGGCTCCAAATTCACCAAAAGGCTGTTGATCTCGACATTGAGCTCGTTATGTGGCGCTTCCCTCCGTGCACGAATCTCGTTATAATGATTGCCATCCAGCTCGTATTCACCTCAATCGCAACCCTTGGAACGGAACTTTGGTCTCCGAACATGAGCCGTCCAGGATGCTGCACACCTTTATCGGCGAAGGCGAATCTGTCTCGAGGTCCACCCCCATGATCTTCCTCTGCTGGCTCCAGATGACAAGAGACCCCCGCCACCCGGAGCATCTTGCTGCCCAACTCCTTCAGCAGGGCATCGAAGTGGTCGATCACCTTGGATAAGTTATCTTGAACGCCGTGGTGGCCTGCACCGGCAGTAGAGGCACGTAGGCGGCAGCAGACTCCTGTCGGGCACTCCTTCAATGCCCACTTGTGCCGCTGAAACACTGCAAGAAATCCTGATCGCTCGAGGATGTCGACCAACTTCTGGAGCTCCTCAGTGCCAAGCTTCGTAGTGACGGGTGCGTCACCAAGCTCAACGAACTCAGCACCAGGAGGACGAGAGAGGAAAGGGTCTCGCTCGCGCCCTTGTCACTGCCCGTGCTGCCCTCACCACCTTTGCCTCCGCCCTTGCCGCCGCCGCGTATTAGTTGACACATCGGAGAGTGTGTATGTGTGTGTGTGCCCACACGCCTTGCAGAATGAACTATCCTTGGCAGTCTTATCGCAGCCACACCTGGAACACGCTGGAACACGTCCCTCCGCTGAAGCAGCAGTCTATCCTCCTTCACCCCACACGTCGGGTGAGAGCTACTAGCGGTACTCTGAGCGCCGCCAAGGGGGCCACGCCCCTGGAGCGGACGCGGACCCCACCATTCTCGCCATGGAACTGCTGTAGTACGCAGACCGAGGGGGATCTACCCCAGTACTGTATGCGAACTGGTGTGTGAAAGATGCGCCCTTGCGCTTGTAGTTGGGGCCACGAATTCCCCTCGCCAAAATCTCAAGTCTATGAGCAATGCCTCCGGACTTGAGCCAAAATGGCTTGAGCAATACCGTCATCGAGGGGGAGGAGGGAGGAGGAGTGGGGGAGGAGGGAGGAGGAGAAGCATGGGGGAGGGAGGGTGAGGAGATGGGAGAGGAGGGAGGAGGGAGGGAGCAGGAGGAGCAAGAGGTAGAAGGAGGAGGAGAGGGAAGCAGAAGGAGAAAGAGGAGGAGGAAGAGGAGGAGGAGAAGCAGGGGAGGAGGAGGGAGGCCTCCACGACGCCCGCAAATAAAGCGCTCTGCTGCGACTCGCTGCCGTTCCGCCCGCGGCCACCGGGGCTGAGGCAGGAGGAGCAGGGCAAGGGGCGCCGTGGGAAAGCCATGCAGGGGCGTCATGGGGCGTCGACCGGGGAGGCCGCCAGCTGTCCGCACCTCCCTGGAGCACCTCCAGACCGAAAGAATCGAGAGCCCCCACCAGCCTTCTGGGCGTGGGGGCTGTTTTTGAAAGGGGGTCGGAGAAAAATGGAAGGCGTCTTAGAAGGATGCTGCTTCTGAGAAGGCGCCGGCCCTACATCTATAGACACGGCCCGCGCCTTCTAAGAAGCAGGGGTGTTTCTAAGAAGCCTTCCCCCCTCCCCCTCTGCGCGTGGCCGGGGTTCAGGGCGATTCCTCTTCCAGCACCCTCCTGACCCCCTCAGAGGGGAGGCCAGAACCACCCCCTCCCAAACCCGACCGCAGGCCGACCAGGGACCAGGGACCTTGCGGCCCTTAACCACCCCTGTCGAAGAGGAAGGCAAAATGCACGCGGCGGCGTCCGAGGATCGCTTCCCTTTAGCTTTTCAGAGAGATGGCGGGACATGATCAGATTTTTCCGCAGCACGCTCGCCCACAGTCCGCATTGAAGACCAATGCCAAACTTACTGCGGGTGCACAAATCATTCACAATGCTGACTACGCAACTGTCACGTTGCAGTGACTTTCGACAACGATGGCGGGGGTGTCGACATGTTGTCCGATATTTGCTGTCACGTGCACCGGCACACCTGGCGCACTCTGCGCGAGTCACGCACGAGGCGCGGCTGGAGCGCGTTGCACAAGTGGCGCACGTGGTGCACGTGGCGCATCTGGCGCACCAGGCTGCCGCACCTGTCGCGCGTGGCACGAGCATCGCGCACCTGGCGTCTGCAGTGGTTCCGACTGCTGTCCACCCGATGGCAACCTCAACCTATGCGAAGTCTCGGGTGCTACTCATGTGGTGGAAGCCCGTCTGGGAGTAGCGACGGCGTCGGCGGCAACGGCGAAGGCGAGCAGCGCCCGAGCGCACCCTCGCGAGGTCACCATCGCCATCATCATCATCATCATCATCAGCAGCATCATCATAATCATCATCATACTCCTCATCAGCATCATCATCCTCAGCATCATCCTCATCATCATCCTCCTCAGCATCATCATCATCGCCATCGTCATCGTCATCGTCATCATCATGATCCTGATCATCAGCATCAGCATCCTCAAACACACCATCAGCAACCTCAACATCATCATCATACCCATCACCATCCTAAGCATCATCCTCCTCATCATCATATCATCCTCATCCTCATCATCATCATCATCATCACCATCATCATCATCATCATGCACATCATCATCAGCATCAACATCGTCATCATCATAATCAACAACACCATCATCATCTTCACCAGCATCACCACCACCACCATCGTCATCATCACCACCGCCACCACCACAACCACCATCATCACCATCAGGAGCAGCAGCATCAGCGTCGTCGTCATCAGCATCGTCATCATAATAATAATCATAACCATAATCACGATAAGCATCATCATCATCACCACTATCATCGTCAACGGCATCGTCATCAGCATCATCAGCATCATCATCATGAGCACCACCATCATCAGCAACGACATCATAATCACCATCATCATCGTCATCAACATCAGCGTCATCATCGTCATCATCATCATTACTATCATCGTCAACATCATCAGCAGCATCATCACCCTCATCATCATCATCATCATCATCATCATCATCATCACCCTCATCATCATCATCATCATCATCATCATCATCATCATCATCATCATCATCATCATCATCATCATCATCATCGCAGAAGACCGCTAACCTTCGCGGCGACACCCGGGCGCGCGCACTAGCCCCGCCCTCGCGCGGCCCTGGCGCACGCAAGCGTGGAATTGGCCCGCGGGACCCCTCCGGACACCAGCGCCCAGCGAAGGTCCGACGACACAGTCAGAACACGATTCATATCGAGACGATTCTTCATGTCAGCATCCGTGATGACAGGGGAGCCCTTTCTCCTGGTGTGAGTTTTTTCTCCCCTGTGAGCACAGGCACCACGCCTCGTGCTGCTGGGGTTTTCTCGACACAGCAGCAATCACTGAAGAGCTCCAGGCACCGGTCATAGCCAGCGCAAGTCAAATCATCATCATCATCATCATCATCATCATCATCATCATCATCATCAGCATCATCATCATCAGCATCATCCTAGTCATCATCACCAGCAGCATCACCATACTCATCATAATCCTCAGAATCACCATCATCATCACAATCCTCAGAATCATCATTATCATCATCATCATCCTCATCATCATCCTCATCATCATCCTCATCATCATCATCATCATCAGTATCCCCAGCGCACCCCTCACACGCTCCGTGGCCCCATCGAGAGCTCCACCGAAGGTGACAGGATTCACATGGGACCTCGGGTCCGTTCGGCAAATGTCTGAGAGTTGGGAGCTCCACCCAAAGTTCCAGTGGCAGTGTCGCGTGGCGCCTCCAGGCCACTTCGGCGCACCCCTCATACGTTTCGCAGCCCGGAGCCCCATAGGGAGCTCCACAGAAGGCCCCAGCTGCAGGGTTCGAATGGCGCCTCAGGTCCAAGTCAGCACATCCATCACACGTTTAGTAGCCCCATGGGGAGCTCAACCGAAGGCCCCAGTGGCTGGTTTCATATGGCGCCTCAAGTGCATGTCTGCGCACCCAGTACACGCTTCGTCGCCCTATAACGGAGCTTCACCGAAGGCCACAGTGACTGCAGGGCTCGTATGGCGCCTCGGGTCCAATCCGGCGCGCCCCTCAAACGCTTCGTCGTGGCCCCATAGGGAACTCCACAGAAGGCCCCAGCGGCAGGGTTCGAATGGCGCCTCGGGCCCATGTTGGCACACCCTTCACACGCTTCGTGGCCCCAGAGGGAGCTCCGCTGAAGGCTCCAGTGGCAGGATTCGCATGTTGCCTCTGGTCCACTTCGGCGCACCCCTCACACTTTGGTGGCCCTGTAGGAACACCACCGAAGGCTCCAGTGGCAGGGTTCGCATGGCGCATTTCGGCGCACCCGTTTTCTGGCGAAGCATTCAGGCGTACGGCGGAGCCCCCCAACACGTTCTTGTGTATTGAGCGGTTCTGCTGCTAGTTCCCACGCGTCTAAGAAGGCCGAGGTTCTTCGCCAACAAGGTGGTTTGACTAGAGCGGCGGGGGCAGCATCATATTGCCCGCTGCGCGCAGGCCCATGAACCCTGCCAAAATCTAATGCAGAGCAGACCGTGGATTCACACACACAATACACAATGCTGGCAACCGCACCGTCAATTTGCATCCATTGTTGGCAGGGGTGGTGAGGTGGTCGGCATATTGCCTGGTGTGTGCTGTCACCTGGCACGGTTGGAGCACGTGGTGCACTGGGCGAAAGTGGAGCACGTGGCGCGGCGTGCTCACCAAGCGCGCCGGGCACGCGCGGCGTACCTCGCGGGCGTCGCGCACCTAGCTCCCAGCTGGCGTCTGCATTGACTTCAGATTGTTGTCGATGGCGGCCACTGCCTATGCTGAGACTCGAGTAAGCGGGACAGCTTGCGGAACTCCCGCTTGGAACTTGATATCCCCCCTGCTCGCTACCACGGGTTTGAACACCCCCCCGTTACCAGTAAGAGCGTCCAAGATGGCCCAAGATTGCCCCAAGTCAAACAGACCAAGATGGCCTGCAGGACGCCGCAAGATCGCCCAATGTTGCTCAAGATGGCTTCCTGCAGGCCACCAAGAGGCCCCCAGGCTGCCACAAGACAGCTCCAGTGGCCACTGAGCCTCCCAAGGAGACCTCCGAGAAGCAAGAATCCTAAGAACAAAACCCCAAAACTGATATTCATCGGATGCTGAATGACTCTTGCATTCTCGCCGTTTCCCTTCCGAGAAGCCCCTGAAGCCTCAGAACGGCCCCAAGACCGCCGATGTCTGGGGGCACTGCGTGGATCGTTCAGCCTCGAACGACCGCGGCCCTCCGACGTCGCAGCAGGCGGCTCCGACGAGGGGGACTAGCCTCCACAGGGGCCGGAGTGTGCGAGGCGGCGAGATCTCCATACCCGCCGCCTGTGGAACCGACGTCCTGGGACCCCAGCGGGGAGTGGATGTAGGCATCTGGGGCCTCCCGGGCCTGAACATGTCAATCTATATATATATATATATATACATATACATACATGCATGCATACATACATACATACATACATAAATACATACATGCATGCATACATACATACATACATACATACATACATACATACATACATACATACATACATATATGTATATTCAAATATAGAGAGATATGTGTATATGTGTATATATATATATCCACCGCCCGCCGACGTCCCCGAAGGCCGACCTCCCAGGCGGTGGTTCTGGACCAGCCCCGCCACGGAGGGGGGACAGCTGGCGCCCCCGCCCGGGAAGCCCCGCGGAAGCTGGCGCCCCGAAGCCTCCGCTCCGCTGCCCTCGGCGTGCGCGCACGCGGGGCGGGAGCCAGCCGGCCACGTGGAGAGCCGAGGCGGCCAGCATCGCACCGACCGCGAACCCGATCGTCGAGGCCAGCCGCCCGTGCCCCACCCACGCCCAGACCGGCGGGGGCGGCGGGTTCAAAAAAGGCACCGTGTGGGCACAACCATAAACTGTCGGAGGGCCGTGCAGACTTCTGGGATCTGCGCTGACCCCCCCTCCCTGGCGCGCTCCGCGCGCCAGGGGCGGCGCCAGAGGCGCCACCAGGGGTCTCCAGCGCCGATGCGAAAAATCCGCGCGGCGCTCCGACAATGCATGTTTATGCCATGCTTGTCCGCCGATCACCCAAGCCCAGACTGGCGGGGGCGGCGGGTCAACAAAAAACACGTCGTGTAGAGCCGCCTTGGATCCATCAAGAATCAAGGCTCCCCACGGCCGGCTCTGCGAGGACCACGGCACGCTGCCGGCCACCTGCGCGACGGCTAAGTACTTGGCGCGCGACACGGAACTGCGCGCTCGCGCCGACAGCTTCAACATCTATCGCTCCCCGCCCCATATCAAAGGCAACATCGTCCAGGTGGTGTTGGCAACCCAGGGCATCTAAAGTCATCAGGCCTTCATTCGGGCAGAAAGCCAAGTCTCTAACGGGACACCAGGGGCAACAGGGGGGCGACGACGACATCGAGGACGAGAGACACGAGAAACTCCTGAGTCCCACGTGGCGTTCGGCTGCCAGTCGCTGCTGGCCGCAGAACAGAGGGGGGAGATGGCGAAGCGGGAGGAGGACGACAAAGGATGGGGAAGATGGCAGATGAGGGGGGAGATGGCGGAAGAGGAGGAAGAGACAGCGGAGGAGGGAGAGCTTCTGCGGGGCACGGGCGCGCACTGGGCTAGAGTGCGCGCACGGCGCCGTGCAGGAGCTCAATCGCTGTGAGACCGTCAGCTCGACGCCGAGGTCGGGCAGTCGGATGACTATGGCCACGTGGTGGCATCGTACGCTCACCGCCAAGGGGGCGGGCTGGTGGCATCGTACGCTCACCGTCGAACTAGGAATAATAAGAACAGCGCATGTGAACAGCATGCCATCGCGCCAACGTGGGCACACGAGGATGCAAACTAGCGCGCTACAAAACCAAACGCAGCCGACAAAGGCCCAAACCGCGGGTCCTCAGACGTCACGCACCAAGCAAGGGAACTCACTCTGATGTCAATAGTCGTGCTTCACGCTCTCCGTACTGATCCGTCGATGCTCAGCTGTCTGAGGAAGCGCTTGACCTTGGGGAACCTAAAGATGCTAGCCGACCCCGCCGCTTCCCGGACACCTCCTGGGGTGCGTACGACTCAGGGCTCCGAGGCGAATGCAGCCGTGGCTACGAGGGACTCCCCAGGTGGCCCAGAAAGGCGAAACATCGCTCTTCGACGACGGCGGCGCTCGCGGGGGCGGACGCGAGAGCGCGAGGCCTTGGGGCCCCTTCTGGGGCCCTGGCTCCGGCCGAAATCGGCCGACGGTTCCCCCCGAGCGCCGGCCGGAGCAGCTTCAGAGTGCTCCACAGGCTGGCGACCACTGCCACATCGAGGACACACCCGTGGGGATGTCTTGCGCATGCCAGCTATCGTCAGGACAAAGGATTGGAAAAAAACGAAGGATTGCAAAAAAACAGAGGATTGCAAAAAAAACAAGGATTGCAAAAAAAACGGTTTTTTGCAATCCTTCGGTTTTTTGCAATCCTTCGGTTTTTTGCAATCCTTCGGTTTTTGTTGCAATCCTTCCTAACCAGCTCAGTACTGGTTGTGGTCGGCGTGGCGTCCAGGACGACCAAATCGACCACAGCCACGGCCAGGGCGTTCCTGTCGAGGTCGAGGGGCCCTCCAGAAAATCCACTCGTTTCTGGTTGTGGTTCTTCGTTGAGCCCGGGCGCCCGTACAGTCAAAGTTTTACCAAAAGGGTCCTTCAAGAAGGAACGAGGGGCTTTTGGAGCCTGAGCTGCGCCCAGGTGCACGAGGAGCGCCTGGGCGTTTTTTTTCCCCTCAACATTCTGGGAGGCCAAATTCGGCTTGCGTGTGTAAGGCTGTCGTATGCGTTCTTAGGCGTGCGTACGAACATGCGATGAGATTGAGGTATGGCTGCAAGAACACGTTCCAAGTTTGTGGTATGGCAGTTTCTGGCATGCCTACACGGTTCTAGAGAGAATGGGCCCTCAAATGGAAAAAGGGGAGCCCAAGATTTGTCACCAGGATACTTCAAGGAGTCACGAGGCCCCTTTCGAGCCTGAGCTGCGCCCAGTGCACGAGGAGCGCCTGGGGCCCGCGGGAAGACCCGAGGCCCAAGACATATCGAACCCCTCCCGAAGCCATAGTGGGCCTCCTACAAGAGCTCTGACTGAGTGCTGCATCCCCTCTCTCTCGAAGCTGTGCCCGGACATCTGCCCGAGTGTGACCGAAACTGGCGCCCGAACGTGTCCGAACGCGGCGGACTGTGACCAAACGTCTTCGCAATTTCGGTCACAAGTTGAACGCACCACGCTTTCGGCTACAGTTTCGGACACCTTTTCGGTCACCGCTTTTTGCGGTCACATGTCTTTGCGGCTGGTAGGGGCCGGGCGCCATGACCTTCCTCTCCTGAGGGCCAACTCGGCGGTGGACAAACCTCCCTTTAGCAAACCTCCCTTTAGTGAAAACGGCCTGGGACCGAAACCGCCGGACCTGGACCCGCAAAAATGACGGCCGCGACGCCCTCTCGCGAACCGAAAACGGCCAATTCCTGAGTCGACGTGTCAGGGTAGGAGGTCTGTCCACCCCCGATTGCTCTCCTGAGGGCCAACGCTGGGGGGGACCAGCTCAGGGGGGAAACACCGAGCGGGAACCGGCGATACGTCGCCAATGGGTCCGCCATGGGCTGCCGACGTCGAGGCAGCACGTGCCCGGGCGACGGCGGGCCATCTGGCCCCACATCGGCGATGGCTGGGCGACGGGGGGTCGATGCGTCACTCCCTGAGCCTGAGCCTGTCCCTTGAGCAGGGACCGACCGTCCCAGCGCACCTGTAGGCCTACCACGAGACGTTCTCAGAACCCCAAAAAAGTTCTAAGAACCAAAACGATGTTCTTAGAACATAAACCCGACGTGTGAAATCAAGACAGCCCCAGCCAGAAATGTTCTAAGGACATTTCGTGCAGATCACAAAAGGTTCTTAGAACACTGTTTGGTAGGACTGTAGGCGAGCCAGGACGCTTCACCACCGCTTGGCTACTGTTGCCCAGTGGTTTCTCGGTCATAGCTCGGCTCTCTGGCGGCCGTTCGGGACGATTCTGGCACCCCCCGGAGCGCCCTCGACGAGGCGCAGCGATTGGAAACCAGCCTGGGCCTTGAACGCGTCCGCAAACTGCCGAAAACGATCGGAAACTCCCGCCCGTGTGTGGAAACACCTCCCTGGCGACCGCGGAAGCGCGAGCTCTGGCCTGGCCGCCGCGGGCCCGCCGCCGAGCTCACTCCGCCGCCCACGAGCCAGCGCCGCGAAGGCTGCTGCGGGCACCTCGCTGCCCGCCAGGCTACGAGGCTGGCCGCGCGCCCGAGCCGCCCGCTGCCCGGCCCGGCCGCGCGGACGGGCCCGCCCGTCGCGGGCCCCGCCGAGGAGCCCCTGAGGCCCTCGGCGGTCGCACGCCGGCGGAGCACAGCTGGGCCGGCGGCGCCGTTGCGCGCCCGCGCAGGAGGAAGAGGCCGCCTCCATCCAGGAGATGCTTCGGGGCCCCGCATGCTGGGACAGCTCTGCCGGCGCGCACGAGGGGGGGTAGGGGGGAGGGGGAGGGCTTCTTGGCAGGAGGCTGCTTCTTAGAAGGCGCCGGCCATGCATCTGTAGATGAGAACCGCGCCTTCCAAGAAGCAGGGTGCTTCTAAGAAGCCTTCTACCCTCCCCCAGATGTACCCCCTTTTGCGCGTGGCCGACACTTGGCCGATTCCAGAATCCCTGGGCCACAAAAAGTCGCCATCTCTTGGGAGCGCAATGTGTGTGTGTGTGTGTGGTAAAGCTCCTCCCTCGGCCTCGCCCTGAGGCCCCGCCGCTTTCTCCTCCCCTCCCTCCGCCTAGTTCAAGCTTCGCGCGGCCCGCTTAGCTTCGACCGGAAGAGGTGCGCTCTCGACCCGCGAATCAAAGCTGCGCACAGACAGCCCCCGCAGGTAGTCCAGGCTGACCTCACCAGGCCCCCCGAGTAGCCCCAGCTGGCCTGAACAGAACACACGACTAGTCACTGGTCCTGGGCGATCTCAACACCCTGGCGCTGTCTCCGACGGCGCCTCTGGGGCGCTCCGCGTGCCCCCGGGTTTGGGTGTTGAGACCGCCCCGGACTAGCGCGCCCCAGGGTTTGGGTGTTGAGACCGCCCCGGACTACTCTGGGGGCCTGTTGAGGCCAGTTGGGACTACTCGGGGGGCCTGCTGATGCCAGCTAGAACTGCTCGGGGGGCCTGCTGAGGCCAGCTGGGACTGCTCGGGGGGCCCAGCGAGACCAGTTGGGGCTACTGGATGGGCCTGTTGAGGCCAGCCGGGGGGCCACCTAAGGGGGCTGTCCGTGCGCAGCCCGAAGCCTTGCCAGACGTGCGGGCCCACGGCTGCAGCCCTCCTGGGCGTGCCACCGCCCCTGCTCTCGGGGGCGCACGGGCCCGGGTCTGTGCAAGCCCGGGTCGCTCGGGCGTTGCAGAGGCCTCCGAGATCCTGCAGGATCCTGCGGGATCCTGCACGCAAGCCCAGGGCAGCGCACCCCCGGCTCTGCAGGATCCTGCATGATCCGGCGCTCTGGCTGATCCCCGTTTGCATGGACCCCCGTCTCAAGGCTTCCGATGCTTGTCAGGGTCCCCGCTTCCGAGGCCCCCACTGTTCCTGATGTTGTGGACGTGCCCGCGCGGCAGGCCAACGGCCGCGAGCGCGCTCCTGCTCGATTCGCTCATGCGACACCGCACGACCTCCTCACGGTAGACAATCGTCACGCCCGCACACGAGTGCGAGGCCTCCTCCTGCTCCTCCGCGTAGGCCTCTCAGCGGCGCGCATGGGAGCACAACGAGGTCGCACTTCCCCCTCCGCCATGCTCGGGCCTCCTGCGTGTCCCCCGTGGCGAAGTCTGGACGCAGCTCGAACAACTGGCCAGGGTGGACCCCAGCAGAGCGGGCGCGCGGACTGGCTACGAGTACATGCGAATCTTGGGCAGGGCGGGGCGGGGGAGCGGGGCGGCCTCCGAAGCAGGCGGGGGGCTCCTTAGAAGGGATCGGCCTCTTTTGAAGAGCCTCTACGAAGCTTGTTGTGTGCAGGGGAGTCTCTGACACTGAGGCGGGATGCCTTTTCAGGAGACTGCCCGTCCCGCCCTCCCCCGCTTCTGCACCCCGTTGAGCCTTGCCCTTGACGTCAACGTTGACCGCGATGCCCTCCATGCTCAGGAAGTCGTTCAGCACGCGCTGCGCGACATCCTTCGCAGGGCGCAGGGCACGTGCCACGAATAGTACGGAGCATCAGGTCAAGATCCACAGGGGGGCGCATCCTCGACACGAGAAGAGAGGACGTGTCGTCGTGGGCCTTCCCAAACGGGGCACCCGCTAGGAGGATCCAGGCCCACCCGTCTTCGCCCTGCGCACCGCGCGGGGAGCGGCCATCCTCGCGCCGTCGTGGGGAGAACAGCGCGCACCCCTTCGGCCCAGACCCACGAGGCGCCGAGCGGGACTGCTGCGGGCTGCGGCGCCCCCCGCCAAGTGGCACGCGGGAGGACCCCCCCCCCTTCGGCGGGCCCTGGGCACCTCGGGCCCTCCCCCGGGGCCAGCTCTGCCTCCGGAGCGGTCCCTGGGAAGGGCCCCACGGGCCCCGAGGACGACGTGCCCCCACTGCGGTGTCGCAGCGGCCACGGTTCCAGCCGCGGTGGGCGCCAGAGCGCAGCCGGGTGAGCGCCCCGAAGTGGGTCCTCGAGGCCTCTGCCCCAGGGTACGCCTGTGCTTGGGCGCGGTTGGCATTGGCCTCCCCCGAGGGCCCCGGGAGCCCGAAAGCGGCGGCATAACCAGCCTCGAACTGATCCCTATCCCTAAGATTGACACGCCCAAAGGCGATGACAATCTGAGGGATGCACCCTCAGAAACTGAGGGAATCCCTAAGATCGCCATCGTGATGAGGCGATGCCCAACATAGGGATAAGGATAGGTTCCAGGCCGGTAGCGGCAGGCCCTCGGGACCCGTTCCCATCAGGATCTCAGCTGCCGCGACTCGCAGCTCGTAGCCCGTAGCATTCCCCGACACGGAGCTCGAGGCGCAGATTGAGAGCACGCGTTTGGCGCAATACGCTCGTGGGCCAACACGTGGAGCCAACACGCACCGTGTTAACACGGACGTTTTGAACACGGCGCGTGCTGCGATTCCAAACAGGGGCGACAAACCTTGCGCTTCGCGCTGCGCGAAGCGCGAAGAGCGAATAACTTCGCGCTCTCGCGCGGCCCCCCAGGGGAGAAGAGTAGGATGAGGAAGAATCGGAGCCGAACCGCGAAGCGCGAATAACTTCGCGCCCTCGCAAACAGGCGTACCAGAGCAGCTAGGCTCAGGACCCTCCCCCTCCCCCTCCCCCTCCCCCTCCGGACAGCAACGGTCGCCAGACTCCTGCGGCAGCCTCAGCGGCGCCCTGGGCGCAGGGCACGATCCCCTCGCCGGGCCGCCTGGGCTCTGCCACCCCGTCTCCACCACGATCCTCTGCGAGGCGGGGACGTATACAAAACCGCAGTAGGTCTTTAGACCCCCCAGTAGTGGAAACGAATTCTCCTTTCGACGCCCTTATTGACGGACTGGGACACCACCAATAATGAAAAATAGCCATTTCTCCGAGGCACCCGCCGTGCAACAACGACACAACGACGACGAGGAGGAGGAGGAGGAGGAGGAGGACTCATCGAATATGCTGGACCAGGAGGAGGAGGAGAAGAAGAAGGGAGGAGCAGGAGGAGGAGGAGGAGGAGGAAGAGGAAGAGGGAGGAGGAGGAGGAGCAAGCGCAGGAGGATTTTCGGACTTACGGGAGGTGGCGGAAGATTTACCCAACATAATGGGCAGACGTGTTGTTGTTGAGATGCCACTCCGTACATGTAAGCATCCTGCCCACATGAGGAGTACGAGCACCAGCTGCCACTACACTGCAGCATACCAGCTGCACATACCTTCTCTATCTGTTGGCAACACTTGTTTACTAACAGCGAACAGCAGCATCCCGAGAACTGCTATTCAACACGGCTTGTATCAGCAAGACAAACAACCGATTGCCGAATACAGTGTACACTTGGCCCCCCTAAAGGGTACGACCCCATCAGCACAGGCACCATTCTCTCAAACCACACATGCCAGCAGTGTTTCATTGATTCTACACTGGCGTTCTTACCAGCATGCCAGGCTCACAGTACTGCATGCTCCTAGACCTACAGGCCAGCCTGCACAGGCCAGCCCTTGCAGCGTACCCGACCTACACCTCACCTCGTCTTCACTTGCCCAACACTCATTCTCCTGACATAGCTACGGTACGGTGGCACCTCCACTCAGGAACCGAAGAGCGGGCCAACTGCTGGCTAAAAGAGCGGGTCTATTGCTGGCAAGAGGGTCCGTTGTACAATATGTGAGACAATGGCATATCCAGCAATTCGTTTTTTGCCCCATACACCATGGGCAACATCCCAAGAACTGTTAGTTTACCACGGTTTGGGGTCAGCCAAAACCCTGGGCAGCAACCCAAGGACTGCTACAGCCAGCCTTCTTTCGTGCTCACAGCTTCTGCCTGTCATGATGGCACATATTCTTGAGAGGTTCGAAGGGTTGCCGCATCATGAGGTAGGAGGAGGAGGATACACGCTCAGCTTTAATGCACAGCAGCAACGCCACACCCACAGGCCAGCCTTCAAGGCGAACACTCCTTCCTGTAGCCTGACACGCTTCAATCTATGCGTAACTCACGTTGTATACCCTTGCCCATTGCAGCATGACCAAGACTACGCTTGGCGGGGTGACGGGGTGGGTCATGGCGGGGAGGGAAGCACCATTGAACACTTCAGCCTTCTGACCCTCAGCGGAGGGATACCAGCCCTACAGTGGGCTGCTGGTCGCCATGCGCTCGCTTTGCTCATAACACTTCACTCAGCCGCCCACCTTTGGCAGTTGCCAGACGCCATTTATATATATATATATATATACACACAGCGCCTGCCACATTGCGTAGCACTTGCACCTGTACCTGAGGCATTTTCTTGTGCATGGCGATCGTTGCACTTGCCGTGGAAAACACGACGGCACCCACAATTTCTCTAAGGTTGTTATGTTACTTGTCATGGTACTTGCCATTGGTTTACCATCTGTTGTTGTGTTATCCCACTAAGGTGAGTGTCGTTACACCTGGCGGGCGCCTACTCTCACTAATCGTCGTCACCAGCGCTCAATATCTTACATGTCCTGCGCCGTCCGCCAGGTGTGTTTGACCCGAGTCGTTTTGTTGTTCAGCTTCATGCATGCTAGCCACAATCGTAGGATTCAGGTTCGGTCAACGTAAAAACAAGCGCAGGAGGAGGGACGAGTTTCCTTCCCCGCCGAAAGAAACAGGGGGGAACCCAAACTGAAGACTTCCGATGGTTAACCACAGCCTGTAAACCTGATAGATCCACGACCCCCGACGTTAGAGCATTGTGCGTTCCCGCATTGTGCGATTCCACTTGAGGGCCGAAGTAGGCCGCCCACGGATGTGTGAAGGGTTGTTTTGGGAGTGCGTGCAATCGCTGTGGTCACCCCAAAGCTTTTCCTGTGCGTCTGCGCTTCTGGACTGCGCGTTGGGGGCGTGCGAAAAGGAGCTTTTCTGGTGCCTTTGGGGAGCCTGTGGGCTGCGCCTTGGACGTATCGGAGGAAAGAGAGAGAGAGAGAGAGAGAGAGACGCGGCGCGCGTCAGAGGTGCATGGGCAGGAAAAGTAGCGCCGACGCGACGGCAGCCGAATGCCATGAAAAACTTAGAACGCACCAGTGTCGCCAATTCCATGGGCAGGGCGTGTGTAAAAGCATGTACACGCACATCCCCCTCGACATGAGGCCCACCAAGGTAGACGACCTGGGAGAGCAACGGCAGCAGGAGGCATAGGAGGGAACGACACCTGGGGACCAGGACAAGCCTGGAGCGAGGGGAGGGAGGAGAGCGAGCGACAGATAACGATAGCCAAGAGGAGGGGAGGAAGGCGACAGACCGCGCGGCAGCCCCGGGGACGAGCAGGAGGGGCAGCAGGCAGAGGAGCGACGCAGGACGGCGCGCGGTAGTCCAGTGAGGCTTCTCAGAGTTCCCTGGCGGTGGCCCTGACTTGCGAGGCGGAGAGTTGTCAGAGCAGACGTCGTCCTATGGGAATGGCATGACGCCGCCTCTTCGGAGTCCCCTTGGGGGCCTCTTGAGTATTGGAGCATATTTTTTTCTCTCGAAGCCGCGGGCGACAAAGAAATCCTGTATTGAAAACGTGCGGTCGGGTGGAACAAGCAGCTCCTCTCCCCTCCCATTCACCTCCACCTGCTCCCGCAGGCCGTGAGCCCGGCCAGCCGTGCGCGCTATGCGCCGCCGCCCACCAGGCTGCACGCCAGGGGGCGGCCCGTCCTCCGAGGACGGCCCGCGTGCGCGCCGCGACGAGCCCGGACCCCTGCAAGACACGGCCACCGGCCCTGCCGAGGTCGAGGGCGGAGCCACACGGCGATGGGGGGGGGCCAGGACTCGCCGTCGCTCGGACGTCCATTCCCCGTGCCTTTGTCGGTTTCGCGCGTGCTTTTGTTTGCTCGATGGTCCTCGATGGTCCTCGATGGTTCTCGCCGAGAAAGAATGCACACGTCCGAGCGATGCCTTAAGGGATGGGGGGCCGGGACGGGCCACGGACTTCGGGGGCCGGGGCTCCCCCCGCCAGGGGTCAGAAGCACTCCGCGGAGGCCTTGCCGGCCAGCCGCGCCGGGCGCCGGCGCGGGGCGGCAGGCTGCCGAGGTCGAGGACAGAGCCGCACGCACGTGCACGGCCACCTACAGCTCTCTTAGCCGGGCCGCCGAGCGCACACCCGCTCGTGGCGTCAGCCACCTACAGCTCCTGCTCTCCCAGGCTCCCCCCCCCCCTACCTCGCGGCAGAGGGGTCCCCGCTGCGGCCCCGAGGCGTGGCCGCGGCCCCGGGCGCACAGCCGCGGCTGTCCTCGGGGGCTTGCTGCGGTTGCCTGGTCACGACGACCAGGTCGACGCCCGCGGTCAGCGTGACCTCCTGGTGCTTGTCGGGCGGGTTGATGTCGAACACGGCGGCGAGGCCGCCAACCCTCCAGCCGACGAGGACGTCTCCCGACAGGCGGACCATCGCCGCCACGGAGGAGAAGCAGGCGGTGAACTCCGTTGCGGGCAGCTCGCCTCGATCGAAGTAGTGCGAGATGTTCACGATGCGGATCTCGTACTGCCCGCGGCCGAGCAGCCCGAAGTACACCTCCTTGAGCCGGGGCTGCAGCGACAGGGCCGCCATCACCTGGGCAGGGAGCTTCGAGGAGCTCACGACGTCCTCGAGGCCGATGTGCTCGCACACGTGCCTGCTGCTGGTATCCTGGAGTTCGACGACCACCGGAGTGTCCTGAGGCACCAGGAGCGTCACCTGCTTCGCCGCGGCCATAGCAAACGCGTCCGACCGCCACGGCTCGAAAACCGTCTCGGACATGACAAACACGCGCGTGATGTCCTCCCAGTGAATGCCGGGCGCGAGGGCATCGCAGATCGAGCCCCTGTCCTTGCTCTCCGTCCTCCTGACAGCGTCGGTGTCGCTGCCCAGGCCGTCCAGGCTGAGCGGGATCGACGCGGCCGCCTCGGGCGAGCAAGGCCGCGAAGACCGTACGGGCGTCGGCATCTCGAAACCGGTCGGGAAGGTCGCTTCGCCAGCAGCCTCGGCGCGCAGCCGGTCGAGGCTCCACCCCGCCTCCTGCAGGGAGTAGCTGGAGCCAGGCTGCCCCTTGTAGTAGAAGATCTGTATGTTCGTCCACGCCACCTTCAGGTGGCGTTTCAGCGTCCTGCGAGTGGAGACCTTGCGCGCCGCCGGATCGGACTCGGCGAATGAAGAGACACGTGACCCTGGCGGCAACAGACGGTCAAGGTGAACCAGCACGGAGCCGACCAAGTGGCTCCAACCTATGATCAGAACGTGCTCCTGCTTGGACTTCTCGAGCCTGGCCGAGGACTGCGGGGCCCACGCCCCGCTCGGCGGCGGCGCGGGGCCCCACAGCGGCTTCTGGCGCGGGCTCGCCGAGCTCAGGTCCTCAGCAAGCACGATCAGCTCCTTGCCCTTCTCCACCTTCACGTCGAAGTCTGGGCACAGCTCCACATCGTCCAGGTCAACCTTGTCGATAACCCCGAGAATGGTGCAGTGGGGAAAATACGGCTCCATCTCGGCGAGCGTCTTGTCACGGAGCCAGCGGGGCACCGCTGCGATGTGCAAGTCGGAGCCTTCGAAAGCGACAATCTCGGAGATGACCGATGCTGTGGACTTCTGCTGGCTGCACGACACGGCCACGCTGCTGAGAAGCGTATCCAGATTGACCACGGAAGCCTTGCTGCCGCCGATCTCTTCGAAGAGTTCAACGTTCTGCTCCACGGAGTAGAACACAAGGACCTGCCCGGTCAGAGGCCAGTCCCTGCTCCTCACAGCCGAGACCACCTGCAGCATGTAGACGTCCCTCACGTCCTTGTCCAGGGTCCGGTCGGGCATCGGAATCGCCGTCCTGCACAGGTCGACGCTCACCAGCTTGAGGTCCTCCGGACGGTGCGGGAAACCGGTGCGCACCATCACGCGCGAGCCCTTCAGCCCGTCGCCCACCAGAAGGCCTAGCTCGTTCAGCCGCCTCTCGACCTCTGGCTTCGGCAGCGGGCAGAGGATCGCAATGGTGGTTCCGCCCAGATCCGCGTGCGCGGCCGAGAGCTCCCGCACGAGTGGCACGGTGTCCTCGGTGAAGCCGAGGATCACGATGTGCTCGGCCTCCAGCACAGGGGTGGTCCCTGTCCTGAGTCCGCCGATGTACTCCTCGAACGCCTGGCCGAGCACCGTCATCAGGAGGGCGAAGAAAAGCAGGCCCCACAGGCTGGTGGTCGCGCCCACAATCATCCCCCCTATGGTATGCTCTGAATTGCCCCCATCAGGGGCCACGAGCCACACGAAGATCTGATACAGTGACGATCCCACGCTCTCATCGGCCAGGTAGAGGTACAGCAGAGTTCCGATGATGAGCATGTACGAGAAAATCTCGACCAATATTCTGAGGCTAGGGTATGTAGAATAATTCATCCAATTCCCAACGTGGTACAATAAATATTGGCCGAACGAGGCTGGCGCCCACCATTCAAGACGGGCGCCCGCATCACAATTATTCGGTAGCGACTTTACTCGCGAGATCTGGCGGATGGCACCCGTGCTGAAAACGTCCGTCTCTGTCCCATCTCTTCGGCCTGGCTCCTTCTTCCTCTGTTTGAAAACGAAGAACGCCCTCACAGTGGACAAAAATCTGTAGGCGTTCACGAGCACAGCTACACCAACAGCCGCGATGAACATGATCACCAACACAGACTCTGCGAGACTATGCTGGCCGGACTCGCTCGCAGATCGCCCCCTTGGCCGGCTCGCGTGACCCAAGGCCACTGACGTCGACATCGCACCTGTGAGCCGCTGCTCCTGCTCCGCGGGCTGCCCGTGGGCCGCCCACTCGCCGCGGCCCTCGGCCTCCAGCCGCGCGCGGCCGCGCACGCGGCTCGCCCGCGAGGTCGGGAGTGCGGCGGCGAGGAGCGCAGCCAGAAGGGCACGCCCACTGCTCGCAGCGGCTGCGCGTCGGGACCCTCGACGGGCCATGCCGCGGGCAAGCCGCCTAAACCTTTATGCTGCGTTGCTGCGGGGTGCTTCCGAGTCCCATGGTACCGACGGGCGCGCTCAACACGCACGGGCGCGGCCAAGACGGCCTGAGCCAGAGTGGCTACGGAGGGGGCCTCTTGGGGCATCTTGGGTACCTCTGGGGCCGTTTCGAAGCTATCTTGAGATCTCTCTGAGCACTCTTGGGTAGTCGTGGGATTGCCCTGGGCCTCTTGAGGCGCGCCTGGGGCCGCAGCTGCAAATCTA